GGCAGCTGTGGCGACATTGTAGCTCATCACCACCAGCGTGTGAATGTGTGTGTGTGCATGGGTGGATGACTGATTGTGTTGTGAATCACCTTGGTGGTGGGGGGGTTTAGAACCCTAAGAATGTGCTAAACAACTAAATGTCATTTACCGTTTACTTTAAGTTGTCATTTGATTTCATAAATAGACACATACTCTGTCTATAAGGGATTTATATGTTTTATTTAAGTCAGCTGGATGAAAACACAAGAGATCAATCATGTAGTCCTGGTTCTCAAGAGAAAGGATATTTCTGCTCCCTCTGCTGGAAACAAGAGGTTATTACAGCATTCATAGGCTAAACCTGGACATCCCTCCAAAATAAAACATAATGACATAGTCTAGATAACAGCAAAGGCAGAACGTCGTCATCTATACAAATTACATAAACACTAAAACGCAATAAATCTACTGCAATTATCCTTCTTCAAAAAGATTACATCAAAATGCTAAAGCAAGATCTAGCTAGCTAACAGCACTACAAATATCCAATCATATGCCCTCTGGTGGCTACAGGGCTAAACTACATCCACGGTAGATCAAAGGGATTTTATTCCCTAATATATTTATAAAACAAATAGGTAATATAAAATAAGTATGTTTAGGCACGGATTTTTACCAGCATGAGTTTGTAGTTTTTAAATAACATGTCAGATATTAAAACAATTAGTTACTAGTTCAACACCAGGAAATACCCAACTACATCTAATAAACACACACATTCATGCAGACGTAAATATTTCTTCTGAAAACATACACATTTGTGTTTTAATTTCACAATAAATGTATAAAATACTAAAATAAATTAAGTAACACTTCTTCAAAAGTAACCAGCAAAAGAATAAAAAAGCAGTTCTTTATTTGCTGGTTGTTCTTTGTTTAAATAAGCTTTGAATGTAATGACTTGTAATCTATTGGTTGATTTGATTGATGGTCACATACTCAGTCAATAAGGGAATTATATGTTTAATTTAGGTCAGCTGGATGGAAACACGAGAACAAAATCCTTTAGTATTTGGCTTTTGAGAGTTAGAAATGTTCTGCTCTCTGCTGGAGAAAAGTGGTTACTACAGAATTCGTAATTAAACCCATAGATTCCTTAAAAATAAAAATAAAAAATAAAACACCACTTAAAAATTACAACTTTTAAATAACATAGTCCTGGTAACAGGAATGTAAATATTTCACAGGATAATTCTTACAAATTGCACCTTTAAACGCAGTAAGTTAAGCCAATAAATCCTCTAAAGTTTGTTGTTGTTTGGATTCAGGACATGAAATATGTGCAGGTTAAGGGATTTGTTTGGACAGATAAGTTTTCATTCACCTCTCACACCCGGTTTTCCCTCAGATGATCCTGGATTTGAACTATTGAACCTCCTCTTACAGCCGCTGTGTTCTAGTCCTCCTCCCCCACGCGCAGGGCTGTGCAGGCCAGGAGAGGTAGGTGATGGGCTGCAGGGTCGCAAGCAGAAACTAAGTGACGCACTTTTCATACAGTGCTGTTTGGAGGTTTGTGAACTCTCCCAGACATGGTCACTGTTTTTCTAAAAACACCCAAATCCCAATTTGTGGAGCACACTTTCCAAATAAACATAAACAAACATAAACAAATAATATTCACACACACAAAGGTCATGTTTTCATTATTTAAGTCAACAAATGTGTTTATTTCACATAAAAATAGAAAATTTGCAAAAGTTTGCGTAGCTTGTCCTCTTTTTGCAGCCATTGCTTCCACTGACCAGTCCCTCACATCTGCTTATGGGGATTGTCCCCCGCTGCTCTTGGCAGAGCTCAGTTGAGAGAGGCTGGAGAGACATCTAGCAGCTTCTTCAGGTCTTGCCACAAAATTTCAATTAGGTTAAATGTGTGAAACACTGACAAACACATTTTATGATTACTTCTGATTGTAGTCAGCCACTCTGAGGTTTTCATGCAGGCTGAACATGAAAATAGTCTCCTACACCTATCTCCTGCATTAGCTTCAAATAGAAAATAGACGTGAAACTCTAGGATTAGAAAAGCCCGACAGATCTACGTCACACTGTAACTCAACATTCATGGACTCACCCATCTTGACTCACAACGGGAAAGGGTGTTGGTTTAGCGTCAAGGAAACAGCAGATCACGCATCGGCTAGTAGAAGCTAACCGTTAGCTAAAAAATCACGGAAAAACAACAAAAACATTTAAACCGCTCCAGGAATTGACATTCTGTCAAACGGCGCTGTCGATTACTGGTAAATCACTACATGAAGTGATTATTCAGACCTGTTAGGGAGGTCAAAGTATAACTATGAAATTATGTGGGAGAAAACTTCCACAGAAAATAAAGTCTATTGCATCCTGTGCACTTCGTTTATTGCAACTTGTGAATATTTAGCTGTCCTTTCGTGTTTTAGTCCGTATCTGACTGAAGCGTGGACTCGGGTAAACTGAATAAATTACAGAAAATATATTTTTATAAAATAATGTACGTTGATCATATTAATATCTGAAAATGTACACTAGTATTACCCTACATTATATTATAACTCCTGTTGGCTAAATCATTGAAAGGAAATCAGACTAAATGCTTTGTTTCTAGGTGTGAAAGAAAGTTAAGAAATTCAAAATAAAACCAAACTAACCAGAGGGCCATGCTAGGCCATAAAACTGATGCCACCATCTATCGTAAATAATAACATATCATCTGTAAAAATGCACGGTTCCAGTCGGAGACGCCTCCAGGACTGTGTCTATGGATTAGAACAGATGGAGCATTGTTTGCTATCATTAAAGTCTATAAAACAATGTATTTGATCAACTTATTATTTTATTTTTAAAGAAAGTTTTTGTTTTTAGTCTGTTTCTGTTTGTGAGACCTTTGACCTTTTAACCCAGGATTTTATTCCAGCTTTTTAATAAGCAGAGTTATAAGAAGCTACAAGACTTTAAAACAAAATGTATATATATTTTTTTCAATTTTGATTTTGTGAATTTTTTTTACTTTTAAACATAAAACATTGTTGGTACATTTTTTTTTATTTAAAATGTAACCCTTAAGGACCCAAACCCTTTTGAGATAAAAAAAACTGATTGGAGTAAATACATAAAAATGTAGAAAAACATAAATTAAAATAAAGAAGTAAAATGATTTTTGATATACTGTATGTGTAGGATGTCACTTGGAGTTGTCAAACTTGAAAATATGATGCAAGAAGCAAGTTTGAAATTGGATGTGACACAGTGTCACCACGAGTTCATCTTAAGCCTTTTGGTTTTTTGGAAATAGTTTAAGATTTAGGCAATGAGCAAGATTTAACATGCAAAACTGGTTAAATATGGCCTCTGCTTCCAAGATGGTTAAACCTCCCTTTTTATTATATATATTTATGAGGGTTTAATATTATCATCATCATCATCATTATTATTATTATTATTATTGTCATAATTGTTATTATTATTGTTGTCATTATTATTTTTTATGATCATCATCATTATTATTATTATGATTGTTTTCATTATTATTATTATTATTATTATTATATTATTGTTGTTGTTGTCATTATTATTATTGTTATTATTATTATTATTATTATTATTGTTGTCATTATAATTATTATTTTATTATCATCATTATTATTATTATTATTATTATTATTATTATTATTTTCATTATTATTATTATTGTTGTTGTTGTCATTATTATTATTGTTATTATTATTGTTGTTGTTGTCATTATAATAATAATAATAATTATTATTATTATTATTGTGATGATGATGATGATGATGATTATTATTATTATTGTTGTTGTCATTATAATAATAATAATTATTATTATTATTGTGATAATAATAATAATAATAATAATAATTATTATTATTATTATTATTATTATTATTATATTTAGAGCCACTTGAGTCTCCAGAGCAGCAGACTCATTTTCTCTACCTGTGCGTCGCAACGGTACAAAAACAACAATTTGTTCCCCTATTTAAACACTGACTTCTGACTTTGGGTGTTTATTTGATCAGTCAGATCGCGCGCGCGCTCCCCGCGCGCCGCTGAGGCGCTCCACATAGCGCGGGTGCATCTTTCAGTACAACACCGGAAGTGCCGCAGCTCCCAGGCTCGTGTCCTGTCCCACAGCGGCTCCCAGTGCTTTTCATCAGAGCCGAAAGCGGTCACACCTGGTCGGACCCAGAAGAGCAGTTGGAAGCCGCTCCGCTCCGTCCAGGTGAGTCTCTCCGCCGACGTTTATCCCGCTTTCATCAACTTTTGCGGGTGTTATTTAGTGAGAAGACAGAGTTAACTAAAAAGTGCGCGGCAGCAGCGAAGAAACTTAGTGGTGCGTTTCCAGCTGAGCGCGACACAAACAGGGCCATAAAAAACGAGCTTACAGCTTTTATTAAGTGTCGTTTCGGTCAGACTTGACCTTGTTTTCCTCCGACCTGTCAACAGCTCCAGAGGTAATCGCGTGAGGAATGTGGTGTCACCAGGGAGCTGCCGAGTAAACTCACGTCTGTGCGCCTCTCCACCTCAAGTTAACTCCAGAATCAAACAAACAAATAATTACACATCAAGGGATCCTCATGGCCACGGGCGGATTTAAGTCGAACCCAACCACAAACATCCTGGAGGAGTGGAAGGCGAAACGCGAGAAAGTCAGGGCGAAAATGCTGGGTGACATCGCTGCAGCCACCGGAGTTCCCTTGAGCCCCAGCGCCAACAACCGCCTGGGAGCTCCTCCCGGCGCGGACCTCACCGGCAGCCCGGACTGGAGCGCCTCTGCTGCGAACTGCCACACCCCCTCCTGCCCCGGCGTAGCTCCGAGCAGACCCGAGGAGGACGCGCACCACCCCGCGGCACCCTCAGCCCCGGCGAGCAACCTGAAGAAGGCCCCGCCTCAGCCAGACAAGGCTCCGGGCGCGTCCCCGGACTCCAGTCTGATGGCTTGCAACGCCAGCGACAAGGAGAGTCCGTCACCCAGCAAGGGCAAGGAGAAGAAGAGCTCTGGTCCCAGTGCACGGAAGGGGAAAGGGAAGGGGCAGATCGAGAAGAGGAAGCTAAGGGAAAAGAGGAGATCAACAGGTGTGGTGAACATACCTTCCAACGAGGTGAGTCAGTCCAGCTGGGCTTCAGTGTTCATCCTCAGGAGATCTTGCTCCTGCTGCAAGCTGCATCACTGGAGGCAACATTTGGATGAAAGTGAACAAGATAAAGTAATTCTTAAATAACTGCATTAAATGGTGGATGCTTGTCTCAAAGGTTGGCAATCATCCAGCAAAAGTTCATTTCAGAAAGAGACAAGAAAGCTTTAATAAAAGTTAAGTCTACCCTGGCCTTCAGGAGGGCTTGGAGAGGACCTTCAGGGGTCAGGTCAAAGGTTATCCAAGGGGAAATGTGTCAAATTATCAGTATTTCCTAAAATATTAGAGTCACCTGAGGAAATTGTCTGAAAATCAGATTTAATGTCTTACTTTCTTAACTGTTTTTTATATTCTAGGTTTGATTTTATTAAGTGTTGCTGATGTTATGAACATACCTGAAGGGAACAGTGTGTATTTCCCCCATGAAACTACAAAAAACAAGGTTGAGAGCAGCCTCGTTTCCCCTAAGAGACTGCAGATTCCTCTCATGCATGTGTCTGGTTTAATCGCCCCTCTGCAGAGAGAAAAATGAAAAGCAGCCCTGGGAAGGGGGTGGAGTTGGCGGCTTCTGGAAGTGTTTGGAGGCGGTTGTGCCTCTCATTGTTTTTGAATTTAAATCATGTCGCACTCCTAATTCCTGCAGTTCCGACGCTTCGCAGCAACTCGGATCTGAAGCGGTGCCAGTGAGAGCCACCACAGTGATAATGTACTCACGCACTCTAAAAGCTCTTAAATTATACAGAAATGTTGAAAATGAGTTTTTTTCCCCTTATTATTGAAGGTATTTCTGTAGAAGTGGTCCATAACGTTCCCATTGGCCCAATTAAACAGCCACCCAAGACTCTGTGCCTTTGGGCATCAGGACTTGGAGGTGGACCAGTTCTGCAGTTGGCTCTACATCCTGTTATGAAGGACTGTTGGAGAACTGGTCTCAGGCCAGAGGTGGGACGCTGGGCATGTTTGGTTTTTCCCAGATAAGTCCGATGACTTCCATAGGCAGCAGTTTGTGTGGTAAAGTTTGTGGACGGACTATAATTTAGGAAATCTGAGGTGAACTTTTGCACATCCTGACTGGAACACGTTGATCTGAGTAAGTAGCACACTGTGTGTGTCTACATAACCCCTCACTAAACCAGCGGGAGCACATTTGTGCAACAAGCTTTGAAACACTTGTTCAGCTTTATTAGGAGACACGTGCACATTTTCCTCCTCGGCTCAGATACAGATCATAACTTTGCACATTTGCAGGTACTTTAGGTGCTCCTAAAGACTTAGACTACTGTAACTCTCTTTTCACGTGTCTGAGCAGAACCTCCCTGAACCGTCTACAGGTGGTTCAGAATGCCTGTGTTCGGCTTCTGACCAAGTCCTCCTAACACACCCACATCACCCCGCTTCTCCTCCAGCTTCACTGGCTGCCAGTCAACTTCAGGGTTCATTTCAAGATCCTGGTTCTGGTCTATAGGGCCTTACATGGACAAGCACCATCTTACATTGGTGATCTTCTTAGTCCCTACACCCCCAGCAGGTCCCTGAGGTCCAGTGATCAAAGCCTACTGGTTGTGCAGCACCAGGCTAAAGACCAAAGGTGACAGATCATCCGCTGCTGTGGCCCCCAGACTCTGGAACTCTCTCCCCCTGAGCCTGAGATCAGTGGACTCAGTGGTCTCCTTTAAAAAGCAGCTGAAGACTCACTTGTTCAGGCTTTGGTGTGACCTTCATCACCACCCTCTCCTTATTCTGTTCTTATTCCACCTTTCCTGGGATCCATTGCTTTCCCTCTTTCTTATTCATTTTCTCGCTCCCTTTCCTTGCATTTTCTTCTTTTCTCCTTTCACACATATTTCTAATCATTTTTTAAATCTTTTTATACTTAAATTTATTTGATTTTGTGAAACGACCTTCTTCTACGGCTACTACTACCACTTCCTCTTCTTTGGTAGTCCACATAATCATGATTAGTAAACCAATCTTGACAACAGAAATGAAACCCAAAAATCTAATTTAAAGGTGCATGATGTAAGAGTGACATCCTGTGGTCAAACTTGGGTACTACGGTCCATTTTCAAAACACACAAGTGACTCACTGTTCTGTGAGTTTCATGGCTGTTTTACGGCTCAGCGGCAGAAGATTCTAGGTGAGAAGTGAAGACGAGTCATACACGATACGTAAACACATTTTTGTATTCATGGTACTAGTAAATGGTAAATGGCCTGTACAGGTGCTGGCCAGTAAATTAGAATATCATCAAAAGGTTGAAAATATTTCAGTAATTCCATTCAAAACGTGAAACTTGTACATTATATTCATGCAATGCACACAGACCAATGTATTTCCAATGTTCATTACATTTAAATTTGATATTCATAAGTGACAACTAATGAAAACTCCAAATTTGGTATCTCAAAAAATTAGAATATTCTGAAAAGGCTGAATATAGAAGACACCTGCTGCCACTCTAATCAGCTGATTTACTCAAAACACCTGCAAAGGCCTTTAAAAGGTCCCTCAGTCTTGTTTTGAAGGCACCACAATCATGGGGAAGACTTCTGACTTAACAGCTGTCCAAAAGACAATCATTGACACCTTGCACAAGGAGGGCAAGACACAAAAGGTGATTGCTAAAGAAGCTGGCTGTTCGCAGAGCTCTGTGTCCAAGCACATTAACAGACAGGCGAAGGGATGGAAAAAATGTGGTAGAAAAAAGTGTACAAGCTCTAGGGATAACCGCACCCTGCAGAGAATTGTGACGACAAACCCATTCAAAAATGTGGGGGAGATCCACAAAGAGTGGACTGCAGCTGGAGTCAGCGCTTCAAGAACCACCACGAGGAGACTCATGAAAGACATGGGATTCAGGTGTCGCATTCCGTGTGTCAAGCCACTCTTGAACAAGAAACAGCGCAAGAAGCGTCTCGCCTGGGCCAAGGACAAAAAGGACTGGACTGATGCTGAGTGGTCCAAAGTTATGTTTTCTGATGAAAGCAAGTTCTGCATTTCCTTTGGAAATCAAGGACCCAGAGTCTGGAGGAAGAGCGGAGAAGCACAGAATCCACGTTGCATGAGGTCCAGTGTAAAGTTTCCACCGTCAGTGATGGTGTGGGGTGCCATGTCATCTGCCGGTGTTGGCCCACTCTGTTTCCTGAGGTCCAGGGTCAATGCAGCCGTCTACCAGGAAGTTTTAGAGCACTTCATGCTTCCTGCTGCTGACCAACTTTATGGGGATGCAGACTTCACCTTTCAACAGGACTTGGCACCTGCACACAGTGCCAAAACCACCAGCACCTGGTTCAAGGACCATGGTATCCCTGTCCTTGATTGGCCAGCAAACTCGCCTGACCTTAACCCCATAGAAAATCTATGGGGTATTGTGAAGCGGAGGATGCAATACGCTAGACCCAACAATGCAGAGGAGCTGAAGACGACTATCAGAGCAACCTGGGCTCTCATAACACCTGAGCAGTGCCACAGACTGATCGAGTCCATGCCACGCCGCATTACTGCAGTTATTGAGGCAAAAGGAGCCCCGACTAAGTATTGAGTGCTATACATGCACATTCTTTTCATGTTCATTCTTTTCAGTTGGCCAACATTAGAGAAACAAACATTTTTTCATTGGCCTTTAGAATATTCTAATTTTCTGAGATACCAGATTTGATGTTTTCATTGGTTGTCACCTATAAATATCTAAATTAAACGTAATAAACATCGGAAATACATTGGTCTGTGTGCATTGCATGAATATAATGTACAAGTTTCACGTTTTGAATGGAATTACTGAAATATTTTCAACCTTTTGATGATATTCTAATTTACTGGCCAGCACCTGTATTTGTATGGCACCTTCTTGGGGTTCTACAACCCCCCAAGGCGCTTCACAACACAATCCATCATTCACCTATTCACACACACATTCACACACTGGTGGGGATGAGCTACGATGTAGCCACAGCTGCCTTGGGGCGCATTGACAGAGGCGAGGCTGCCGAGCACAGGCGCCACCGGTCCTTCCGACCACCACCTGCAGGAAAGGTGGGCTAAGTGTCTTGCCCAAGGACACAACAGCAGCATTCTTTGATCGGAGCTGGGATCGAACCTACAACCTTCCGATTACTGGACAACCCTCTCTACCTGCTAAGCTGCTGCTGGTGCCTGTAATATCTTGTTGTTGGTGATGGAAAAAGTAGCCTGAGATATTTTTCTTTGTAATTCACTTTTAGTAATGTTAATACATCAAACTTATGTAGCGCTTGTTAGGACACTCAAAGACGCTTTCATGCACTCTTACATTCACACACTGCCAGTGAAGGTAAGCTTCTACGTAGCCACAGCCGCCCTGGGGGGGAGGCTGCCATTTTGTGCCGTCGTCCCCTCTGACCACCACCAACACAGGCAAGTTGAGTGAAGTGTCTTGCCCAAAGACACAACAGCAGAATACCCTTGGCGGGAGCTGGAATCAAACCCATGACCCTCCGATCATGAGGCAACCCGCTCTACCACCTGAGCTACTGCTGCCCCACATTACCTAGCATTAGCCTCTAACATTTTTCCTCGATCTTCGAGTCAAACCGAAAGGTGCCGTGGCTTCTTGGGGTTGTGAGAACGTTGAGGTTAAGCCCCTGTTACTGGTTTCGCTTCTAATTAAAACGCTTCTGCAATCTGCCAGCCGGTGTTGACGTGCATATACCGGTGCAGCAGCGTTAGCTAACACAAACCCCAGCCGGCTGAGAAGGAAATTTGTTTAAATATAACCTTCCTTCCAAACTGATTAAGACCTTGGACTGTTTTTTGATAATTTCCCAGTAAAATTCTTACTTATTGCACCTTTAATCATCAGTCAGGCTCATTGTAAACTACTGGGTCATGCAAGAAACAACATAACGTTGCTTCCATCCATTTTCCCTTGTTGAGATGTTTCTATTTCTCCTGGTAAGAGCTAAACTATGCAAATGAAGACTGACTCACA